GTGGCTTGCAGATTGCTTTAAATGCGGGGCATTAATTACTGTGCAAGATGTAATGAGACTTTCACCACCCAGAACTGTTTTCATAGTGTCCATGTGCCTGTAAAGCCGTTCTGTGCCTGTGAACACAGCTTGTGTTTGCCTGTACTTTACATAAGACAGAGCAGCAGCAGGACTGCTTTTACTTAGGCAAAATGTTTACTTAGATGGGAACTGTGTTTATTCCGAGACATAATTATGAGTGGTGAAGTTTCATAAATCCATTTTGTTTTGCATATGCATGTTTTTTGCATCCTGTAATTTAGTTGAAGGGAAAAAAAAGTCTTTGATTTATGTTCCTTTCATTGCACAAAATGAGAAACTTTGTAATGCCTATGGAGATCACTTGTGCTTGAAGCTTGTAGTAATGTGCCATTCTTAAAATCCTTGAGGATGATATAACTCTTGCCATTGCAAAGCATTTTACCCTTTTTTTTTTTATCTTATGCTCTTCACCTTAGACTCATCTTTAAAAAAATATAACATGCAGGCTGTTGTTTTTCATGAAATGTTGCCACATCTCTTCTAGTAAGAGTTTTGATAAAGTCCTATCCAAACACCTACATCCATAATGCTCTTGGCACGAGGCTTTTAATGAGTATCATTTAACTTGAGCTGCAGTGCGCTTCAAAGGCACTTTTTATGCTAAGGGTCCATAGTTGCAGAGATCAATAGCTAGTGCTAAAAACCTCTGTGCTGCCCAACTTCAATTCTTCTTACCTTGTTCAACCTGGTTATTTTGGTCACTTGTATTTATGGGAAGTTTCATAAGGCGCTTTTTGTAGTGCAGTCTTTGGCTTTCTTCTTTTTTTCCTTTCTTCCATTATTCATATTTTATTGTTCAAAAAACACTTTTGTCAACATTTTTTATGCACTAGTAAGGAGTTACAAGAATTCAGAGCTATGATTTATTACATATGCCACCTACTTGCAATCGGCATTTATGCTTATCCAGAAATAAAAGCATGCTGCCAAGTTCCTAGGCCTATGATGGGGTTAGTCAGTTTAACTATTTCATAATGCATGTTGATGCTGAATATTTTTTTAATGGGATGATTTGGTCTTATTTGGCCAGATTTAAAGCAGCAGAGAGTGTTTGGTCCATAGCTAACGCAGTATTTATAACGCTGGAATCATTCCGATAACAGCGTGGCAGGTGTTGGGCTCTGCCAAAAGCTGCACATCTCTCTGTCTCTCTCCTTTTTGTGGGAGCCTTTGTGTGGTGGCCACTAGCAGATCCCGAAGCGTAGAGAGGATGAAGATGCTGACCGCACTCATCGTATTTAAATAATCATGATTCTTTCTGTACATCCTTTTTAAGAGTTAATTTAAATGAACTTGGGGCTAGATCTAATGTAACATGTAGTACATTCAGAAAAAAAAAAAAAGGTGTTTTTCTATATATTTTCTCTTTCTGAATCCTGTGTTTGGCTGGTGTAATAATTCTATCAGCCTGGAAGTTTTTTGCTGCATGCTGTCAT